AATGACTGCGGGCTCATCCTGCGACAACTCGCACTTGGCACACACGCAATGACTGCGGGCTCATCCTGCGACAACTCGCACTTGGCACACACGCAATGACTGCGGGCTCATCCTGCGACAACTCGCACTTGGCACACACGCAATGACTGCGGGCTCATCCTGCGACAACTCGCACTTGGCACACACGCAATGACTGCGGACTCATCCTGCGACAACTCGCACTTGGCACACACGCAATGACTGCGGGCTCATCCTGCGACAACTCGCATTTGGCACACACGCAATGACTGCGGGCTCATCCTGCGACAACTCGCACTTGGCACACACGCAATGACTGCCAGACCAACTGCTGCATAACAAGTTAACGGTAATCTATTTGATTCCGAAACCTCTAAGTGCATGTGTTGTTGTAATTGCAGTTGCAGAACTTTGGTATCTCCCATACTTAGTTTTAACACAATATATGCTTTACAAAGTATGTAGTATTTTCATTATTCCATTCCATTGAGTACATGGTACTCGCATGAAAACTTCAAGTCATTTCATTACACACAATTGGGATGATGACAAAGTATGAATATTAAAAATGTAATAAGTCCGTAAGTTAGGTAATGAAAAAATATTAGACACATATATTTTAATTTTGTCGTATAATAAAACAATCTTATACTATTATATAAAGCGGAAGAGTTTGTTTGTTTGAACGGTTTAATGTCTGCAACTATAAGTCGGATTTGAATAATTATTTTTGTGTTTGATAGTGCATTTATCGAGGATGGCTGTAGGTAATAAAACATTGCGCTACGACCAATAGGAGCTGAGCCGAGCATGTGAAACCGAGCAGAAGTGGCTAGCACTTAGATAAAACGAATCAAAGTGGGGCTAAAACGTCATTTCCACATATAAAATGTACATAGAAGTGATATCACTCAACATTTCAAATCAATATATATCGTTACAAGTATTATTTTCTTACAGAAAATAAAAAATATGTGTCTAGTGATTTAAAATAATCTACCCGACGGACATTAAAATAAAAATTAGGCATCTACCCAAATATGTAAATGCAGTACGATGAGTAAAAATTATAACAAAAATAAAAAATTGGATGTAGGTATGAGTAAATGTGACAATGTTACTAACATCAGGACAGGTGAAATAAACTACAAGTAATTTTTAGTTTTATGGTAATAGTATGGTTTCAGGGCTTCAAGACACCTAAGAGTGATGGATGTAAACCTCTTTTCTTAACACCACCCACTAGTTCGAAGTTGTGGAGTATCCACCCTGCAACTATAATAGTTCTACTACTCCGGCTTCAAGTATAATGAACTGCTTCAATGATAACAGTATGGAAAATTTATTTATCACTACTCTTTAGTATGAAATATTTCGAAGTTTATAAGCTTTACTACTTCGGAAGCAGATGTTAGAAGGAAAGGGCGTGCAGTGTGAGCGAGTCAGGCTCAGGTGACGTACCGCTCGAGCGCCGTACGCATCTTGGCGGAGAGCCTGGCGCCGGGCGCGCTGTGGCGGCACTCCTGCATGAGCTCGTGGAACAGCGCATCGTGCTGGCGCGCCGCGTCCGCCTGCTTGCTGGTCGACGGCCCGCCGCCCTCCCACATCGCAGCCGTGCGCGCCAGCCGCGCCCGACTCGATGACACAGCTTTCGCCTATCTTCACTCGGTCGCGATGAAAATAACGAACAAAGACACGTTCGATTCAACTAAATTCAATATTATCGTTACTTATTGTGCGGTTTGTTTTGTTTTTCTGCGTCGTACTGTCCATAGCGCTGTTTCTTTGCTTTTTTCCATTTGATTTGACATGACATTTACACAAATTTTCGTATTTTGACATTGATAAAATGACATTACCATGACAAATGCCTTTTGACATTGACAGACTCTATTGGATAAATCTATGGCTCGTCGTGGTCAAAACCGACGATGTATGTAATTATACAGATTTCAAATGGTTTTATATCGATAGAATATATTTATATTTTATATTTATATTTATTAATAATTCATGGAGGACTTACAGCTTATAAAAATGGATAAAAATAGCAATAGGTGTAGGTAACAATGAGCCAATAACAAGTAACCACGTTTAGGATTTGGAATATCTCTAGTTGTATCTTGTATCTAGACGGTAACCCTATTCTCAGTAGCGGAATGCCCTGCGTGGGCTGAGCACCGCCGTGCCCTCAGGGAAGTGATCGGCGATGGCGACCTCTCGCGTCCGGGCCTAGTGCAGGCCATGATGCGGAGCGAGGGGGATTGGGATGCCGTCTCCTCCTTTTGCGAAGCAGTCATGCTAGCTAAGGAGGAGGCGGGACGCGTGAGACAGCGGAGCGCCGCCTCCTCGCAACCCAGCCATCGCGAAGGACACACCGGGCGTCGGGGATCGCGGGACGATCTCCGGCCACCGTAAGCGCGGGCCTGCGGACGGTGAGCATGTGTGGCTTCTCGTCCGACCAGAAACAGACCCGAGCGTACGGCGCGTCGCTCAAAGAGCCATCAGACCACCACAGATGGGGCCCAACAGGGCCGATGCCGATTCGGACTCGTGAAGAACCTAACGGGTAACCGGGACTCCGGCTCGACGTGCAGGAGAAGGAACGGTGTGGTTTTTAGTCAGTAAGAGTCTGACACTCCCTCCCGCCTCACCCAGGCGGGAGCAGTCATTCGATGATTTTCCTCCCTTAAAAAAAACCCTATTTTCAACGTCCTTGAGTAAATGAATAAAAGTATTGCATTTTATTTAAAAAATCTATTTAGAATATTCGATTTATTTGAAATCGGTAAACGACATTTTACAATCATTTTAGAACTTACGACTTTACTGGCTAATATAGTGGACCATTATTTTTATAAAGTAGGGCATACCAAATTATGACCAAGGGCCTTTTTAATTTGAGCGAGATGTACCGAAATGACTGTATATTTTAATTTTAAATATTTTAAATTGATTCATTTTGTTCCAATCGATTTGCTCTTGTATGTAGATTTTATCGATTGAATAATTTTATCGATATTTTTAACACGATATTATCACTACCGTAACTCTAGAGAAATTTCAATTGAAATAGATAAATATCTTTTAGTACCTACATACATATCGTTTGTAATTTATTATTGATTGACCCGTGACCGATTCTACGAGTCGAGTGACGCCGACGCGGTGCCCAGCCCACCGTGTCTAGTGAATTATTGCACAAATATATTCAATAAAGTGTATCTTTTGTGTAACATTGAAAAAGAAGTTGTGTTTAAAATACCCTGCCGGTGGACGTATCTCTTGTTTGTATTTCTATTATTTTCAGTGTTGTGAAATAGTAAAAATGTCATTGTACTACGAAGAAGAAGAAGACTGGGAACTACCCGTGGTGTTGGGCGACTCTTCCGTTGATGACTCGGTACAGTAAAACAAATTTTATACTGCACTTTGGTAGCGTCGAGTATGCTCCTCAGAATATGGAACCCACATTATAATAAATATAATATTATAACTATCGATCGAATTGAAAACATCCAGAAACGTTTTGAAAACTTTTTATATTAGTGCCTGAAAATTGATTATCACATATTGCAAATTATTTGAATCTTTGCAAGAGATTTCACTTGCAACCACTTGTAAACAGGCGTAGATTGACGGACTTTTCATTTATGTTAAAATGTTCTAATGACATTGACTGCCCTAAAATTTTGCAGACTTCATTTCAATGTGCTCCATATTTCAATTAGATTCAGTGTACCAATATAGTTATTCATGTATCTTGTGAGTGAGCAATGATTTCAATAAACTCTGTAAAGATTTTTCTTTTGACCGATATGATACAAAGCTCACTGAGGCGCACAGGCAGCTGAACCTTGAATTTATAGTGTGTATGCATATGGTCCTCAATGTTTGGAGTAATTTATGCATCATTATGGATTGCCTGTAGTTTAATTATTATTAGCAAAATGTAGAAATCAATAAAAGTAAAAGTACTTTCAGGAGAAAGCTCAAGGAGTTTGTGCTTACTTCCCAAGTCAACAGCGCTGAAATAAATGTGAAACTCTCTTTTATTTGATTTATCCAAGAATTAATCTTGTATTAATTATTACAACTGTCACATTAATAAACATACTTATTTTAGCAGTTTCTTTGTACATGTAATGTAATCTTGTGATTTTAATGTAATGATAGACACACAATATTATTTATTTAACAATTCACTATTTTAATTATATTTCGATAATATTTTTACTATATATCTAAACACTTTACCTAGAACCCACAAGATTAAAATCAAATTTTAGCATATGCGAATTACAAGTATGTGTTGCTCTCGCCCGTGCGTCACTGCAGGGGAAAATCAGTGTTGGGTGCTCATTGTGCCCAGCTTTTTACCGAGTTGGCGACCCCTTCGGATTGGGCATGTGCGCCAACACCGTGTAGTATCCGTTATTGTTAGCTTGTTTTCGTTTTTATAATGTAGCTTATTATCTTTTTTATACCTTTCTTTCTCTCCCTTTGTTTTTAAAATACCTTTTTATTGTTATTTGTTATAATGTATATTAGTGATGTAACGAATATTCGCATTCGCGAATATTCGCAATTTTTTGCATATTCGCATTCGCATTCGCATTCGCAAAATGTTTTGCGAATATGTACTTCTTAGAAAAAAACTATTTTTAAAATAATGGTAGGCTAAAAAAATCAAAATCCATTCGTTTATGACCTTTTTATTGCAAGTAAACCTCTTAATCACATTGTCAGTCTTTACTTTATCATTTGGTATTATTTATTTACTTTGGGCAATGAAACTTTAGATATAGGTAGTTAATATAATAGTTTCATAAGAAATAAACATAAATAAACTCTTTAAAGAAACAAAAACTAAACTAGAAACAAAATTAGAAACTTTTATCCAACTTAACATATTTTTTACGTTTAGATAATCATCATCTGTAATAAACAAAATAATGTAATACTTATTGAAACAAAAACTAATTATTCTTCCACAATAAACTTTAAATATACTCTAAATAATTCAAACTAAAAATATTTGATGAGTTCGTATCCACTCGGCAAATCTCGGAACAAAATAGACCCTGCGTTCCGATACGCGCTGAAAACGGCGACAAGTATTGGCTAGTCTGATTCGAAATGCGCCTATAACGGAACGTACCTCGTTCAGTACGAGACTGCCACCAAACCATACAAATGGCGCCAAATTTGAACACAAACTGAATATTCGCATCCGCATTCGCATTCGCGAATGTCGATATCAGATATTCGCATTCGCATTCGCATTCGCGAATGTTCAAAAACACACATTCGTTACATCACTACTCAACTGTAGGTATAGCTATCACAGTTCATGTGGTTGAGCATGGTGACAGACAAGGACCGACAGCAGAGCTTTAGTAATAATTTACTCCTCATATAGGTATTTAAGTTACGTAACCCAAAAAAGAAAAGTCAAAGAAATTCCAAGTTCTAAAATTATCTTTCCATACTAGCTAGCTACCTACTTCTGAGGATGCACTCCAACATTTAGACCACATTCAATTATCCCTGTAGAGATACATACCATGAACGAATAATTACTATGACTAGATTACGTACGAGATGCCGTCGGCAGAGGAATTGCTAGAGCTGCGCGCTAAAGAACTCGAGTGCCAGGAAGAGCTGCAGCGCCTGCGCGAGCTCGAGGAGGGCGACGAGGAGGCGCAAAAGACTCTCGCCGCCGAGCTGTCCACGCTGCTGTGTCTGCCGCCGGCGCGCCACCGCCCCCCCGCCGCCGAGCTGTGGGCCGCGCTGGCGCCGCACGTGCCGGGCGCGCCCACGGGCGACGAGGCGCCCATGTTGCAGGCCGGCCTGCTGGAAGCGCAGATGCCGCAGATCGTGCAGGCGCTGGCGGCCGGGGTCAAGTCCGCGGCGCGCTGGTCCGACGCCGACATGCTGGGCTCTTGCGCTCTTCTTACGGTCGCCGTGTTGATGGAGAACTCGCCCAACCGTCGGAAAGCAGTGCGCACGTTACATGCGCTCCTGGACCGGTACGCGAACCGGGAACAGGTACAGAGCGACCGACACAACCGTGTGACTTGGCACGCCGCGGGCGTCCGCACTCAGCGTCTTTGTCTGTGCTAGTTGATGGCCGTGGCGTACATGATGGTGACGGCGTTCCCGGCGGACTCCGCGGCGCGGCTGGAGCTCATCGACCAGGTGTGCAGCGGTTCGTGCTCAGGCGGAGACCGCATCGCCTACATCCTCAACAGCACGGCCATGCTGGACCTGCTGGGCGCGGGCGGCCGCGCGGACGGCGCGCCGGCCACGTTCTGCGCGCCCAGCTTCATGCAGGTGGCGCGCGCGGCGGCGAACTGGCGCCACTGCGAGGCGGCGGCGCAGCAGCGCTGCATCCAGCTGGCCGGCCGCCTGCTGACGGAGACGCTGGGCGGCGGCACGCCCGACACGGAGCCCGAGGAGCGCGCGCTGCTCCTCGAGCATCTGCGCCCGGATCCCCTCATGGACAGCGATACGCCGCAGAAGGATAGATTGAAGGTCAGTTTTTGGGAACCTTGTCCGCCTGAGAATATGCTATCATCAAAATAATATTCTTTCTATTTTTTCGTATCTTATTGAAAAAATAACGTAGGGAGTAAGTGTACAATTCGTACACTTGTAGTTGATGTTGGAGTGTGCAGAGAAAAGATCACTCGGATAATGTAACTATAAACTTTATTGCACCCGAGTTTAGTACAGTATAGCACAGTCGGCAATTCCTTTCTCATTAGGTAATTACTTCGTTATTAGTAAAAACAAACTGTCGTCGACAATAACTTGACATGTGATTATATACCTAAGCAATATCGCGCAATCGTACCGATCTTAATGCCAGCAAAATATCTATGTACCGTTGAAGACTGTACATCTTGGCAACACCAAAAGGTCACAACAAATGAGAGAAGGAAATGCCAGTGCAAAGCAAAATAATCATAGAGTATAATCGTAAGATAAATCGCAAAAAGTTAGTCAAGATTGAAATCTACGTTCCTAGTTCCGGAGTCGACGCTCCGAGGAAATCTGACCGGTCGAAGTTCCTCGCTGCTGCTGTTGCTCGACGATAATGTGCCGCCTGGCTCTCACTACACTTACTACGAGTTTGCAGTGTAGTGAGGTACTCGTTTGACAATGTCTTCCAGTATTGATGAAACATATCTTCGCAAAGTTGTCATCTGCGACGTAAGTTAATATTGCTTGCATTGCTATAATCCGCCAGCGGCAGTGACAATATAGGGCTGCCTGTGAGGAAATGTCCAGGAGTCAAGCAGTTGTAGAACTCTTCTGAATCTTCTGTAAGAGGACATAGCGGCCTAGAATTTAAGCAGGCTTCTATCTTGGCTAGTAGTGCCACTCGACCTCTAAGTTTGCTAGTTTGCTGAAGACTTCTGGTGTTTACTTGCTTGAATAATTCATACTCTTCGCGGAGTACTCTTGCAGCACCGATGAAGTTTGTCTCACAGTCTGAGTACATGTGTTTCGGTGTGGCGCGCCTTGCACATCAACAGCCTATAAATGCCCACTGCTGAGCAAAGCCTCTTCTCACACGGAGAAGGTTAGAGCGTTAATCACCACGCTTGCTCAATGCGGGTTGGTGATTTCAAACTTATAATTAGAAATTATAAGTCCAGGTTTCCTCACGATGTTTTTCCTTCACCGTTTGTCAGTGGTGTCTAAATAATCTTAGAAAGTACATATAACTCGGAAAAAGTCACATTGGTACTTGCTGTTGGTAGGTTTCGAACCCGCACCCTCATGCATGAGAAGTGGGCGTCTTAAACCTCCGGGCCACCACGACGACGCCTTGCACACGGTCTTTGAAAGTCCGCTATAAAGGTCTCCGTGCTAAGGTCCGACACTAATTCAATGTGAACGGCCTGTGTTGCCATACATATGAATATAGCTATGTAGCCCTTCGATGTTTTGACGCCTCTGCCTTGTTGTATTTGACGTTAACATGCCCAGAGAAATCTACTCTCGTATGTGTGAAGGGTCGGCACGGAGTAACCCGTTGTCTCGGCAAGTCTGCCATCAGTTGGTGGCTATCTGATTTGCTAAAACGATGACAGCGCGCGCATTTTCGAAGTAACATTTTGATTGCTCGATTTCCACCGACGACGATGCGATAGATATGTTGTAATCAGGGTCTGCAAGTTTCAAATTCTCTAAGCGTGGACATTCGACTTTCTCAAACGATGTCTACTACATCGTAGTTAGTGTAATTTTCTTTATAATCAGTTGCGTTGTGAAACAGTAATCGGAGTGAAACCTCGATCGATTTACAGATGAGGTTCAATTGTCCCCTGCAATTCCCAGACACCGTTCCGATACCGGCAATGCATGCGTTAACGTTTAATCGTGGAAGTCGTAGAAGTTGAACTGCGTTTTCAGTGATTAGTTACATTAGATAGAATAGAACCTTGATCGAGCAGTGCCCGTAGTTTCACATAAGTTCCATCTATTCATTGGACCTAAAGTTGAACTGTAGTTAATAGTACTTCCAGGTTATCTGTGTTCACATGGTTGGAGGTATTTTGCTGTGTTGATGACGATGATGCTCGTTCATAGTTAATTTTTCTATTTGATGCAACTATATTTTTCTTATCATGCTGGGGCCACACTAACGTTGAACGTGAATGTCTATTATCGCGATAATTATTGCAATAATTTTAACGGCATCAAAGTGGGTGGCTACTCTTACGGTCGTCACGGAGAACCTAACGGGTCACCGGGGCTCCAGCTCAACATTCGATGATTTTCACCCCTTAAAAAAAACGTTTCGATGATTTTCGCCCCCTTAAAAAAAATACTCTTCAATGGCCAACGTGAATGCTCATAAGCTCATTATTGCCGATACAAACGGCATTGAATTGGGATGGGAAGGATGATAAGTAAAACGCGAGTGAGGTTAGTGTATTGAACACTCGAAATAATTTATTTTTGATTAAGGAAAGTACCCAATTTTTCATAATGGCACAAAGGCATTGTTGGCTGTCCTGATCTTGCACTCGTTTATACATTCTTTGTAAATTAATACTGACAAGTTTCTCTAAATATTGTTGTTATCTGTAACCAATTTAAGTCCCGAAACATATATTAAGCGCGAATTATGTAATCAAGCTTACTACACACTGACAGATTATCTTGAAGATAAGAATGCTTGACAGCATGTTGGTTCGGCTCCACTGGACAATACTCAAATGTAGTCAGTAGTTAAATTCCAATAGTAGGTAATATAACGTCGGTGCGCTTGCCAAAACTGTTATGTGCATTTAGTCAAGTTTTCAGGAGGAGCCAATAAACTATTTTTTACACTTGCACTGAAAAGTTGATGGACTTAGCAATAAATTAAAAATGCAGTATGATGGCAAAAATTATGATAAAAATAACTGAGATAAAAATGAAAATGATAACATGTACTGTTCATCCCCAATAATTTTATTTTCCCATTTTGGTGCACATATCAGATTTATCTTAGAAAACGGTAAAATTTTTAAACAAAAACTGTTGATATTCAATCTGCCAAACTATCTATGTGATGCTGCAACTTCTGACATATTGTGCGTTTTATGTCACATAACTGTAACCAATCGAACACATAACCAATTTGTCATGGCCAGAAAGTGCACATATAAGATTGGTCTAATCGGTTTCTAGAGGGAAATAACACATATTTGTTTTTGTAATCGATGCGCTATCCGATTTGAAGGACATACCTATAGCTAAGAAAAAAAATTTAAATATTTGCACATATCAGTTTTGGCAGGCGCACCGACGATAATACATAATTTAATACTTTAACTCTAATGTAGACAATCTAGTTTCCTTATGGCATCCAGCATTTCTTTCTTTATTGAAACAAAGAGTTTCCTTTTTCTTGTATAGAAGCACTATTTCTATGGATTGTCAGTATACATATGTGAGCACCATGTTAGACTTAGATTTTTATTTTTTTTATTTTAGTAAGTTATTAGTATAATGCGTCAAGCGTGTCTATGCATTGTTCTTACATATGCGTACAGTATTGAAATATGTATCAGAGACATTGTAGAACATACTTTTTTTAAAAAGAGTAACGAATGGAGTTTCTTGCTCGTTCTTCTCCATTCGAATCTACGTTTTGGAATGAGCACCTAGCTTCACCTAATTTCACTGACGGACTGACTGACAGACTATTATTTATTTTGTATTTGTTGACGTTTCAAAAGTACCAAACTATGGTTTAATTGAAATAAATGCTTTGACTTTGACTTTGACTTTGACTTTG